GGTATCTTCATGAAAGTCTTCAAATTACCACTTAAAAGTAATCCTTTAAGTACAGAATGCAGAAAACTCAGACAAGTAAACCTCCAACTTTACTTTTTCCCTACTAGCTTTGATTTTTGTGGGCTACTGTTTGAGTTATGTATTCAGGGTACATCAAACCACCCCCAAACTCATTTTGCTTTGGGTTCTTTCAGGCAGTTGCCTTGAGATGGTGGCTTGTACCAGGGCCAGATGTCCAACACCTCAACACTCTTCCACATAGTGACTCTCTCCATCGGAGTGCCCCAGATTGCTTGCACAGAAGCCCAGGAATCCACATGGCAGTAGCAGAAGCTGCCTGGCCTCTTTAATGTCTGAGCCATAGCAGTCTCAGAACATTTTGTCTTCCGCATTCTATTGATCGAAGCAGTTATGGGCCCAATATAGATTTAAGAAAAGGAGGTAATAGTAATAAACTTCATCTTGTAATGAATGAGAGGAGTGCCCTGCATGTCGAAGAGGTGGAATAGTTTGGAGTTGTCTTTGGAGACCAGTTTCTACAGCTACTCCCTTGTCTGTGTGCCAGCTGCCATCTCTATCTGATGAGGGGCATTACCATTCTCTGTCAGGAATGTTGGAAGCTTAAAATGAGAGCATGTGGGTAGAGGGGCAGCACAGAGCCATCTTGTTCCCTGACCCTGGACCAGTGACAACAGCCTGGCAGTGTCCATAGGACATTCCTGAGGATGCACAGAAGAAAAATGATGAGAAACAGGGATCCGCCCTCTCCAGAGTGCTTCCTCCCAGTTGACCTGGGCTCTCCCCAGCACATCTGACATGTTGACCCTCTGACTCCACACCTAGGGCCCCTGGACTTTGTGATGAGGACCCTCCATCGAGCTGAGGACATCTCCAAAGTCAGGACTCAATCTGCCTCAGCACCACTGACAGAACCATGGCCCTTGCCTAGGGATCCCCAGGAGCCAGTCTGTCCTGGGTAGAAGGAGTGTCCCCTATGTGGGGTGCCCTGACCCCTGCTGGGGCGGAGGTGAGGTTGGTCACATAGAGCACAGAAGTTGGGGGCTTGCTAAGGGCTTCCAGCGTAGTGGGAGAATGTAAGGGGTTGGGAACACAATCTTTGAGAGTCCAGGAATTCCCAGCGTACCAGTGTATCCTGTGGAATTCACATCAGTCATGACTGCCTGGAAGTCGCTACCATGTCTTCTCTGTCCATTCCTTCCCGAGAATTCACCTCCCAGAAGAGCGAGATTCCTCGTCCCCCCATCCCATCACTAGTCTGTACTTCCCCTATCACAGCCACCTATCCTATGGCACAGGAATTGTCAGGTGACTTCCCTGTCTCCCATTTAGATGTTGCTGTCCTCCAAGGAAAGAACTGGAACTGTCTATGCACCCATTTTCTGAAACCTTAAGCACAGCATGGAGGCTCTTACACGGCTACTGAATGAATGAATGAATGAATGAATGCATGCATGAATGAAAGAAATCTATTTCCTCCTCTTATGGGAGCAATTTGACAATTCTTTCTTCTCAAGTTAACATAAGCTTCTCCACTCTTAGTCCAGTCAGACCTGGGCAGACAAAACTGATGAAGTGGCTCCCCGTGCAGACAATAGAGCATAAGACAGGGCACCTGTGTGATTTGGGCAGTTCATTTGCTTAGTACATTTGAGCTGCAATAACAGAATTAAAAAAGCTGGGATTATAAACAACAGAAATTTATTTCTCACAGTCCTAGAAACTGGGAAGCCCAAAGTCAAGCCACCAGCAAATTCAGTGTCTGATGAAGGCCTGCTTTTCATAGGTTGTGCCTTCTCACTGCGTCCTAACATTGTGGAAGAGGCAAACAAGCTCCCTTGGGTCTCTTGTGTAAGGGCATTAATCCCCTTCATTAGGGCTCTGCCCTCATGATCTAATCACTTCCTAAAGAACCCCACCTCCTAATACCATCACTTTGGGGGTTAGGATTTCAACATAAATTTTGGAGAAATGCAAACATTCAGTCTATGGTACTTGCCACTCTGGACCTAGATGTATTCTGCAAATTGGGGAATTGAGGCTGGAAGGGCTCCCAGCTATCCTGGGTCATAAGTGAGTCATGAGTTCCTCTTCTGCACACAGTTAGAGTCTCTGTGGCTTTCCCTTATCTTTCCTTTCTATTCTTTTGCTTTTCTTTGCAAATTGGGAACTGAAAAGAACAGAGAGGTCATGGGCCAGCCCTTCTGACCATTAAGAGGCTGCAACTGCCCCTACTTGGACAGAGCAATTGAGAAAGATCCTGATCCTCAGGAGGCAGATGGGGCTGCAAGTACTAGCTGAAAATGCAGGAATTGGTGATGGGGGTGCAGTGGCTATGCATGCTCAAACCCTGCATGTTTTCTTCTCTGTTATCACAGCCAGCTGACTCTACTACACTTCACGGGCCATGCAGGGGATAACATGGGATGGGGAGATCCATGAAGTTCAAGGGAAGAAAACAAACCACAATATTATATGTATGCAAAGTCTTCAAGAAAGCATCTGCAAAGCATAGAATTCAAGGCAGCGTGTTCAGATGATAAAACTACGAAGAAACTCTAGGAGACAATTTGCATTAAAGTCAGGCTGGGGGTCCTTCAGGAGGGAAGTCTGTGGGTCAGATAGGAAGGGAAGAGAAGAGAGTGGTCCTGGGGTGCTTGTCGTGTTTTGTTTGTTGGAGGGTGTTCATTTTGTGATAAATCTCTGCATCCTACTTTTGTAGGCACTTTTATCTGTATTTTTCCAGAAAAATACATTAAGAAAAACTGACATGGGTCTGTATTGCAGGAGACCTTAAGCATTTTTTTTTTCCTTTTTTTTTTTCGTGTCCGGCAACGGATTGCAACCCTCAGTGTCGCGCCCGTACCGGACCGGGACCGGCAATGGATTGCAACCCTCAGTGTCGCGCCCGTACCGGACCGGGACCGGCAATGGATTGCAACCCTCAGTGTCGCGCCCAAACCGGACCGGGACCGGGACCGGCAACGGAATCGCAACCCTCGGTGTTGCTCCCGCACCTCGCTCAGCCAGTGAGCGGGAACCGGTCTGTATGTGGGATCCGAACCCTCAGCAGGAGCGCCGCTGCGCTCCCAAGAGGCGCACTGTAGCAGTGCGCCACCGGGCCGGCCCCGACCCTAAGCATTTTTAATTGTTGAGCCTTTCCCTTTTCCACTTGAGAAACTGTTTTAGAAACTCTATGCTCCACTGGAAACTCGAGCCCCTGCCATTACCCTGCTGGCCTCTTGGGCCCGCCTTCTGTGAGATAACACAGCCTCACACCCTCCCCCAGGGGCCAGAGGCAAATCAGGCTCCTACAGTGACCAACAGATGATGTCCCACAATCAGCCAATCCAAATTAGCAGGACAGCATCCCTCATTTACATAAGAGGACCTGAATGAGAACCTAGGAGAAAGAAGGGCGTAATTTAGGCTATATAAGGGGGTCGTTTCTTTTGTTCTGGGAGGCACTGGCTTGGGAGTTTTCTGCCCTCCAGTGCCCTCCTTGCTTGCAAGCAACAAAGTGCTGTAACACTGAACAAAGAGCTGCAACACTAAAATAAAGAGCTATAAAGCTACAACGCTGATGCCGGTCTTGAATTCCTCTGTGCGTTCGCCCCACAACAGTCTGAAGAGGATCCAGTTCCCAGGATTCCCACCACTTCCTCCCACCCCCAGCCACACGGTTGAAGTGATCTTCTGTTGAACTCAGCTGCACGTTTCTTTTCCCATGAGATCCTGACCATCCCTGAGGGGGACAATTCGAGGCTGGTGTCCTCGCTCCATGTCTCCTGTTCACTTGGACTCCTGGGAGCAGAACTTGCAGGAGCAAAGCCTGAGGGGCTGGCAGGTTCTCATGCTCTGGAGCAACAAGGAGAAGTGTGACCCTGTGAAATAACCGCAGTGAAGAAATACATCCTGGCTCCCAGGCGGTCAGGAGGAAGGGAGAGCGTCTGACTCTTTCGAAACCTGCCCCTTCCATTCTGATGTTCTTTCCTATCAAGTCCCACTTACAATAGTGACAGCCTCAGGTTCCCAGGCCTCCTGAGAGCCTGGCTCTCACCTGTGTCCTTGGTGTGTAGTAGCATGCACAGTCCTCTTCTCTTCTTCCTTGGTGTCCATTCTGCTCAGTCCCCCTGAGACTAAACCTCCCCCTGGGTGAAAAGTGAACTCCCTACTCTGCCTGTACAACCCCATTGAAGCCTTCGTCATGGGGAGCTCCATAAGTCCAGGGACTAATTGTTTCTCCACTGGACGGTGACTCTTCAGGGACAACAGTCCTCTTCTCTTCCTCCTTGGTGTCCATTCTGCTCAGTCCCCCTGAGACTAAACCTCCAACATGTGTGGAAAGTGACCTCCTCACCCTGCATGTGCATCCCCCATTGAAGCTTCTGTCACGGGGAACCCCAGATGTCCAGAGACTTATTGTCTCCCCACTGGATAGTGCCTCCTTGGGGACAGCATGCAGGTCTGCTGTGCTGGCCTGGCTGTGCAGGGACGGGGTGCCCACTACGTGGTTGTTGAGGGAGGGGGAAGAGGCTGCCTGCTCACCCAACCGGGGCTCCCCATCTCTCATGCCCCTGAGTCCCACCCCTCACCTCCATAAACATGGACAGACTGAGAGTGACTCAGATGTCTGGTTAGAATGAACATATTTTCACCTTGCAGAAAATGTCAACCAAAGGAAGGACAGCAACAGGGAGGCAGAAGATGGGGTTTAGGACCCACATGGGGTGTGAATGTGGGAGCATTTCACTTTCTCTGGCCTCAGAGTCCCCAGGGGTGGCCGTGGGGGTGGTGGGTAGTTGGTTACAAGGCTGACCCAGCCCTGACAGTGCCTGGGTCTGAAGTTCCTCCCCTGAGGAGGGCCACTGTTCTGACCTCACCCCGTCTTCCTGTGGGGCCACCTCTAAGTCTTGCAGCTCCTAGTTCCTGAGAGAACCCTGAGAAACTGAGCTTCCCACCTGGGACCTCCAACCCTAGACATGCTGCGGCTGCTGCTGCTGCCCCTGCTCTGGGGGACAGAGGGTGTGGAGGGAGAGGACTGGAATTATTACTGGAAAGATTACAGGCTGCAAGTACAGAGTTTGGTGACGGTGCAGGAGGGCCTGTGTGTCTTTGTGCCCTGCAGTGTCTTCTACCCCCAGGGCAGCGGGACTGACTCGGAGCCAGCTCGCGGCTACTGGTTCAGGGATGGAGCAAAGCGGTATCTTCCAGTAGCCACAAACGACCCAAAGCAGAAAGAGCAAAGGGAAACCCAGGGCCGATTCCAGCTCCTCGGGGACCCGCAGACCCAAAACTGCTCCTTGAGCATCAGAGATGCCAGGAGGAGGGACACAGGGACATACTTCTTTAGGGTGGAGAAAGGAAGAGTGAAATGGAGCTACATGTTCAACAAGCTCTCTGTGAATGTGACAGGTAAGGAACAGGCTTCGGGAGAGGCCACAGGGGATGATCACAGGGGCCACAGGGCAGGGCTGGGATGGGACCCTTGGCCTGGGAGGGGGTCAGGAGTAAAGGGTGTAGAGTTTGGGGAGGAGCTGGGCCAGAGCCTGAGTTTCTCTCAGGGCCACATCTCGAACCCCCCCTCCCGATCCTGCATGTCCCCCTCTTCTTACCAGCCCTGACCCATGTGCCCAACATTGTCATACCGGTGACCTTGGAGTCCGGCCACCCCACGAACCTGATCTGCTCTGCACCCTGGGCCTGTGAGCAGGGGACACCTCCTACATTCTCCTGGATGGGGGACTCTGTGTCCCCTTCAGGCCTCACCATCACCGGCTCCTCGATGCTCACCTTCATCCCGAAGCCCCAGGACCACGGCACCAACCTCACCTGTCAGGTGACCTTGCCTGGGGCCGGTGTGACCACAACAAGAACCATCAGTCTCAACGTGTCCTGTGAGAGCTGGGCTAGGACCCCCGGGTCTTTGATGGGGAGTCGCTGAGGGTAACAAGATGAGGGGTCCTGGACTGAACTCTGGGTGCTGGGTCCTGGGATCTGGGCTGGAGGGGGGCGGTCAGGAGGACACTCCCTCTACCGTTCCCCATTTATGCAACTCCTGGGGACAGGGGCCAATGTCCACCCAGCCCTCACCACTGATGGGATCTGCCGTGTCTTTCTGTTCAGACTCTCCCCAGAACTTGACTGTAACTGCCTCCCGAGGAGATGGCACAGGTAGGCAGGAGCCCCCTCCCTGGGGCTGTGGGGAGCAGGGTCTCTTCCAGATCAGGGCAAAGCTGGGTCCCTTCTCATCCTGGACTCACCCGGTGATGAGAGACCCCCTTGTTGGTGAACCCCCTGTCCCCTCCCCTCCTCAGTCCTCACGGCTACTTTAAGCATCTGTCCCCATCCACCCCTCACTCCCCTCGGACTCCTGCACACACAGCCCTCAGCCCCACAATGACAAAAAAAATTCAAACAGCAGAACCCACCTCTGAGGCTCCTTCTCATCCATCTCCTGAATATTCCTCCAGCCTTGTCTTTTTATTTCCACAATAGTTTTGATCTAAGTACTTTTGATATTTTGGTGACATAGTCACATGAGCAAAAGTTCAAAATGCACAGCAGACAGAGTCTATCCTCAGATGTCCATCCCTCCCCCTAGAAGTGACCAGTGTCTGTATAGGCTGCTCTGAGTCTTGGTTTGTTCACCTAAAGGATCTAAGAGGTCACTGGAGATCAGCGGCACAGACCGCCCTCACTGTCCTCTATGACTGTGTGGTGTCCCATCGCATGGGTGGATTCTGAATTCGTGTGCAACTTCTATGAGCGGAAAATCAGAACAGTGTGTGTACAGCTGTGGGATAAGTTCCTAAAAGCAAAATACAGCTGGTTCATATATTCTTTCTAAGTTTTAGAGATAGGACATGTTGTTCTGCATTGACGGTGGACAAGTTTACACTCCTGCCCGTGAGGAATAAAAGTGTTTGTTTTTCTGCACTTTGGTCTGTGTCTCCGTGTCTGTGACCCTCATCCGGACTCCTTCTGTATCCCTTACCTTTCTCTTGACCTCTTTGTCATTTTAATCCTCTGTCTCTTTTTATTCAGCATCCACAGCCCTGGAGAATGGCTCATCTCTTTCCCTCCAGGAGGGTGAATCTCTGCAGCTGGTCTGTGCTGTTGACAGCAACCCCCCTGCCAGGCTGAGCTGGACCAGGGGGAGCCTGACTATGTGCCCCTTGCAGCCCTTGAGCCCTGCGGTGCTAGAGATTCCTGGAGTGCACCTGAGGGATGAAGGAGAATTCACCTGCCATGCTCAGAACCCTCTGGGCTCCCAGCATGTCTCCCTGAGCCTTTCCCTGCAGAGTGAGTGCTGGAGTGGATGAGGGAGGGGCTGGAGGAGGAAAACAGGAGCTGCCCCTACCCCTGGTCACAGTCCAGCCAGCAGCCTCTGAGCTTTAAAGTGGAGCTCAGCTCTGATCTGTTCTCACCTGTGAACCTTAGAATTATCCTGTGGCCCAGAGCATCACTGTTTTTCTGTGGGACCAGGGTGTGGGGTGAGGTAGGGCTGAGTGGGAGAAGCCCTGGGGGAGGTAGCAGGTCATGGAGAGAAGGGTCTGGGGCTTGGACAGTTGTGTTTGCTGAGACAAGGTCCTTGCTTTGCAGGACTGGCACCAGGGTGAGGCAAGTGAGCCACTCTCCTTGGGCACAAAACTTAAGAAGTCAAACAAAACAAAACAGACAAACAAACAAAAAAACAACTTAGCAAGGAAGAGAAATAATATGGTGATGCGATAATGTTTCTAAGAAATGAGAAAAAATGCAAAGCAAAATATCAAAAATTTAAACAAAAACAGGCTGTAACCCAGCACTTGCATGCCTGGCTCTCCTCAGCCTCATCCTGCCCCGTCTCCCTCTCCCTGTTCTCTGCCCTTCCTTGTTCTCTGCAACAGAAAACAGGGTGGGAAAACAGGGGTCTAGGGCCCTATGGGGAGTGCAAGGGGAGAGAAGGCTTCCAGAAGGTGAATCATTAAAACAGCCTCAATCTGTTCCCAGGCCAAGCTCGGCTCGCATCAGGAGTGACGCTGGGGGCAGTTGGGGCAGCTGGTGCTATGGCCCTGCTCTTCCTGTCCTTCGGCATCATCTTCATCACGTAAGCTTTGATCATGAGGAGGGTGGGGGAGGGAAGAGCAGGAGACAAAATCCCTGAACCTAGAGCTGGAGGGACCTGGATGGGTCAAGAGCTTGAAGCCAGGGCAAGAAGGAGGTCACGGCGCACGGGGGAGAATGCCACACGTGCCCATGTTTGTGGGGCTTCGAATCTGCTTCCAACCTCTGCACCCTCTGTCCTGGAGGGGGAAGCTGGTGTTCTCAATCTCTGGATTTTGAGTTTGAGTCTCTGAGACTGAACTATCCCACTTCCACCTTGTTGACCCATTCAGACCCTTAAGAGAAAGCAGGGGGCAGGGGTCCAGTCTGCCCACTGCACCCAGATCTGGCCAGACCAAAAGGCTCTCTGGTCTTCTCACTCAGGGTGCGGTCCTGCAGGAAGAAATTGGCAAGGCCAGCAGCTGGCATGGGGGATACAGACAAGGAGGATGTAAATGCTGTCAGGGGCGCAGCCTCTCTGGTGAGTGATGTGGGCATCTCTACATCCAGCATCTGCTCTGGACACCTCCCACAGGATGGCCTCCAGGACTTCTACCTTGGGCATGGCCAGAGTCACTCTCCTTATGTCCGCCTCCTACCTCCAAGCCAGCCTCTTCTGCTGACAGCATGAGAGTCCCCTCTCCCCTACTTTCTCCCAGGTCACGTGTGGGGGAGGAGTTACTTCTTATTCTCTTTCCTTTTTTGCTCTGTAGCCCCCCAATCACCATGTCTTGTTCATTTCCCTCCCTAAGAAGAGCTATCATCAGTTCTTAGTCCCCTCCATCTTGATCCCATCCTTGCTGAGGCCTCAGGATCTAGTTCTTGGACCATGTCACCTCCCTGCCTCTCCCCTCCTGCCCTGGTTGGAGTGATATCTGAAAGCCATCTCTGTCCGGTTCCTGTGCATTTGAACATAAGTTTGCCCCCACCCTTGTCTAGAGCAGAGGCCAGCAAACTTTTTTCGTAAAGAGCCAGATAGTAAATATTTCTGACAAAGTTAAAGAAGAAATGAGCCTGTGGGTGCTCTAATATTTGGAGGTCAGAGAGATGTATAGCAACTAGCAGAGGGTCTGCCAAGGAGGTGGATGGACCCAGGAAAGTGTCATGGCCTGTACTTAAGTGAAGAAAGGCTTCCGTTTAGGGAAGGTGTGCAGTTGAGTCCTCCACTGCTACAAGGTCCAGGAAGGGGAAGACTGAACCGTGGTCTTTTATGTTTAGCCAAGTGGAGATCACTGGTGGTGCTGATCATAGCAGTGCTAATAAGTGGTGTGTGTGTGTGTGTGTGTGTGTATGTGTGAATCTCAATTTGATCAGTCAAAAGAGAAAGGGAGGAACAAAATCACTGACAATTCTGTGGAGGCATCTGTTGTTCGGAAGCAGCCGAGAAGGGCTGAGATGAGTGGAGATGCCTCCCTCTCTCTCTCCATCATGCCGGTCTGTGTTAGTTTCCTATTGCTGCTGTAACAAATTACTGCAAATGTAGTGGCTTCAAATAACATAAATGTATCGTCTTACAGTTCTGGAGCTCACAAATCCAAAATGGGTTTCACTGGGCTAAAACCAAGGTTTTGGCAGGCAGGGCTGGTTCCTTCTGGAGGTTGCAGGTGAGAATGCAAGTTCTTGCCTTTTCCGGCCTCTAGGAGGTGCCTGCGTTCCTTGGTTCGAGGCCCCTTCTTCTATCTGCAAAGCCATCGGGGGAGTATCTTCCAATCTCTCTCTGCCCTCCTTTCACTTGTAAAAACATTTGCTATTACATTAGAACCACCCGAATAATCCCAGATCATCTCCCCATCTCAATAACCTTAATTTCATCTGCAAAGTCCATTTTTTTTCCCACGTAAGGTAACGTATTTACAGGTTTCATGAGATTAGGGAGTGGACATTTTTGGGGATTGGTTTCTTTTATCAGAGGGATATAATTTCTTTGTCCGGCCTCCCCCCAACCTCTCCTCCCCCAATCTGTGATCTTTCCAAGGACAGGTGCCATATCTGAATCAAGGTCCTTTACTTCTCTCTCACTTACTCTGTTCCTGCCCATCATATCACAATTCCCAATTAGATATTTACTTGTTTGACAAGTCATTTATTGCCATCTCCCTTAATTAAAGACTGAGCTGAAAGAAACCAGGCCCCATGTCTATCGTGCCCACCACAATATTTCCACAACCCAGCTTATGACCTTACACACAGGAAGCCTCGGTAGGACTCCGGATTTGGGGGTCAGAAAGAACTGTGTTGAATTACGGCTTTACCAGGGAATTTAGGCATGCTAGTAGCCTGTTTCAATGTTAGTTTTCATATCTATAAAATAGAGAAAATCTTCCTCATGGGGTTGTGGTGGGAAGTTAGTGAGATTAGTAAACACCAACAAGGTGTTCACTGAATATTAAACATTTGAGGAAATCATGAATGAGGGAGATTTCAACAAGAGCGTGTGTGGGATGAATGGATCAAGAAATTCATGGGTCTCCCCGCATGAATTCTGTCTGCCTTATCCTGTCTGCACTGTCCTACTCTGATTTTCTTCTCTCTGTCCACTTAGGGTTTCCTGACTGAATCCCAGGAATATGACAGCCCCCGGTTCCAGCTGTCCCCAGCTGTGGCCGCCCCCTCCTCAGAAGGGGATAACGAGACCCATTATGCATCCCTCAGCTTTCATGGGATGAAGCCGAGAGACCCAGAGGGACAGGAGGCCACCAGCAGTGAGTACTCAGAGATCAAGGTCCACAAGTGAGAAACTGCAGAGACGTGGCCCTGGCTTCAGGGATCGCGGCCTTCTGAGGCAAAGGAAAAGTCAGAGGCCGGTTCCTGGAGAGTTAGAAGCTGCCTAGGCCACTGTGCTGTGCGACAGGACAAAGAATTTATTCCTCCTGTCTAAATGAAACTTGGTACCCGTTGACAAACATCTCCCCTTCTGTGTCCACCCTCCCGCTAAGCCTCTGTAACCCCCATTCTACCGTCTACTTCTATGAGTTTGGCGTTTTTAGATCCCACACAGAAGTGAGGTCCTGTGGTATATGCCTCTCTGTGCCTGGATCACGTTTCTTAACACACTGCCCTCTAGGTTCATCTATGCTGCTGCAAGCGACACAAAAATGTATTTTGTAGTTCAAAACAGGTAAAGGGAATTTTAAATGTTCTCACCACAAAGACATGATAAATATTTGAGGTGATACACATGGTAAATGGCCTGACGTGATCCTCCCAGAACGGATCCATGTATTGAAACGTCACTATGTCTGTCTCAAGGTCACTCAGTTACTCAGGACAGGGCTGGAGTTGAAACCCCTCCTGTTTCTGGGTGTCTTTTCTCATCCAGCAATGAGTCAAGCGAACAGCAGACTGGGCAGCCCTTGGTCGTATGTTCGCAGGACATGTTATTCCTGGAGGGACTTTGATTTTTACTGAAGAGGGGTCATTAAATGGCTCAGAGCCTCAGGGACAAGACAGGTGCAGTTGAGGTGATGAAGGCTGGGGACTCCTGACCCTCCTTTAGGACAGATTTCTATTTATTTGTATGTTTTCCCCCACATTTTAAAAATACAGTAGTTTTTTAAAATTCCAAGTTGTTTGTTTTTTCTTGAAATTTAAAAGTAGCTTTTTATTTTCAATTGAGATAAAATTTATCTACAATGAAATACATAGATCTTAAGTACCCAATTCAGAGTTTTGCCAAATGCATACACCTGTGTAACCAACATCCCAATCAAGGATATAGAAATTTTCCGTCACTCTAGAAAGATTCTGATGCCCATTCCCAGTCAATCCTCAACTCTGAGAGCCACCACTTCCTGATTCCTGTCACCAATGATTACTTTCCCATGTCATTGAGCTTTATATAATTGACATCGAACAATGTTTTTCTTGTGTCTATGTCTCTTTTTCACCAAGCATCGTGTTTTTGGAGATCCATCTTCACTATCATGGGTGTCAGCGTTCTGTTCCTATTACTGCTGAGTAGGATTCCATCGTATGAGTATGTTGGTTTATTTACTCCTTGTTTTATAGTCATGAATATTTGTTTTGTTTTGGTTTGGGCGATTGTAAATACGGCTGCTGTGGACATAGGTACAAGACTGTGTCAAGGTACGTTTTCATTTCTCTTGGGTGTTGGTGGCAGGATCGTGATGAAATCAATGAGGTCAGACGCACACATTTGGTGCTTAAGGGCCTCCAGGATGTCCCCGTGGAGACTAGTGTCCAGCAGGCACCCAGCAGCTCAAGAGGGTTGTAGGGGTGAAGATGGACATTGGGAAACATCAGGGCGTCCAATATTCCCAATCATTAGCACCTGCTGTTGTGGGTTGAATCTTGTCCCCCAAAGAGAGATGTTGAAATTCACACTCTCAATACCTGTGAATGTGACTTTATCTGGAAATAGGGTCTTTGCAGATATACTCGAGTTAATATGGGGTCATACCAGATTAGGATGGGCCCTAAATCCAGTAACTAGTGTCCTATCATAAAGAGGGAAATTTGGACACAGAGACACATACGGGTAAGAAGGCCGTGTGACAACAAAGGCAGAGATTGGAGTCACCCTGCCGTACACCACGGAAGGCCGACAATTGCCAGCAACCACCACGAGCTAGAAGAGGCGTGGGAGAATTCCTTCCTAGAGCCTTCCAAGGAAGCATGGCTCTGTCAACACCTTGATTTTGGACATTTGACCTTGTTTGTGCTAATTTTTTATGGCAGCTGTGAGAGGCCAATATGCCTGTGTGGGACTCACTGTACATCAGATCCTTTTCCTGCCCTTTCTCCTTCAGTCCTCGCAGTGACTATGGAGAGGGTCGGCTCTATTCTGCATCACAGAGCAGGCTCAAGCGAGCTGCTCAAAGCCATTCAGGCCAGCGAGTGGAGGGCCCGGGATGAATCCAGGCAGTCGGCCCCAATGTCACAAAGGGGGTCTTAATCAGGGGGCCAAGGAGGTGCATCTAACTTGTGCCAGGCACTGTCTGAACTGCTTTATGAACATTTACTCCCTGCGTCCTCACAACAGTCCTATGAGAAGGGCGTCAACCAGTCAAGTAGTTCCTAAGAGCAGTGACTATCACACCGGCTAGGCTTGAAATCCACACTTCCCTAGATTCTTTTTCTCCTCTCTCCTTCTCTCCTTCTCCTCTCCCTTTTCTGCCCCCTCTCTATTTTTCTCCCTACTCTTCTCTCTCTCTCCCCATCTCTCCAACCTCTTTATTTCTTTTTATTGTTTATTGTAAGTTACCAAGCTGGTGAACAAAATTGTTTAGGTATTTGGGGGAACATTTATGAAGACAGCTTAGAAAAAAGTTCCAGAAGTGGAATTATGGACTCTGAACTAACTTCATATTGTTTTAACTATTGATTTTTATTATAAAATCCATTTAGGCACTTTGTGAGAATAAAACACTTTAGAACGTATACTAATGCATAAAGAAGGAAATTAAAATAGAAATAGTTAATACTTAACATTTCCCACAATTATATATAGCTGTATGTGTACACATAAAACTGTAGAAAATACATGTATACATACTGTACATATTATACCTATAAATCCATTAATCTATACTTTTTCATAGCCATGATTCGATCAGTTGCAGCTTTGCATTATACATTTCTAACTTAGTAACAAGTTGAAAGCATTTTCCACTAGGAATCATCCTTCCCCAGTGTGGTCTCTCTTTTTTCTTAACATTTTAATTTTTTTATTGGTTGTGAAAATTCATGGAGTACAAAGCTGACCGTCATCACTTGTGCCCAAAACGTGACGGCCAGGTCAATGCTAGAAGCATGACCATTACCACAAATTGCGATTATTAACATTGTCTCTCACCCAGTTAATCCCTGACCTCCCTCCTCCACCCCACTCTGCAACCCTAGGTATGCTCTCTCCCTCTTTAAGTTTAATGCACCGCTGTGGTTTTTCTTTTCTTTCTTCTTTCTCTCTTTGCTGCCACATATGAGTGAGCACATGCGTTATTTATCCCTCTGTGCTTGGCTTATTTCACATATAAGTTTCTCCAAGCTCATCCATGTTGTCGCCAATGGCAGAACTTCATTCTTTTTCATGACAGAGTAGTATTCCATGGTGTATATATACCATATTTTCCTTATCCAATCATCCATCAATTGACATTTAGGTTGGTTCTATATCTTGACTATTGTAAATTGCTTGGCTTATTTCACATATAAGTTTCTCCAAGCTCATCCATGTTGTCGCCAATGGCAGAATTTCATTCTTTTTCATGACAGAGTAGTATTCCATGGTGTATATATACCATATTTTCCTTATCCAATCATCCATCAATGGACATTTAGGTTGGTTCTATATCTTGACTATTGTAAATAGAGCTGCGATGAACATGGGAGTGCAGGTATCCCTTTGACATGATGAATTCCATTCCTCTAGGTATATATCCAGAAGTGGGATTGCTGGATAATATGGTATCCCTTTGACATGATGATTTCCATTCCTCTGGGTATATATCCAGAAGTGGGATTGCTGGATAATATGGTAGATCTATCTGTAGTTGTTTGAGAAATCTCCATACTGTTTTCCATAGTGGCTGCACTAATTTACAGTTCCACCAACAGTGTGGGAGCATTCCCTTCTCTCCACATCCTTGTCAGCATTTGTTATTCTCCATCTTTTTTATTATAGCCAGTCTGACTGGGGTGAGATGATATCTCAATGTGGTTTTAATTTGCATTTCCGATAAGTCTATCTCCTCTTTTAATAAAGCGTGGCTTGCTTTACTGCTGGGTACATTGTTCATTTCTGTGACTTTGGAATCCAAGAGCCTAATTTAGTCATTGGCAAAAACTGGAAAGCTTTGGGCACCAGGGAAGACTCCAGCTGCAAGAGGCAAGTGGCCACCGGGACTATTTTGCTCCCATGTCTCTGCTGCTGACCCCTGGGTCACTGTTGCCACCACCAGATGGACTTTGGACTTCCTAGCCTCAGAAACTATGGCAGAATAGACGGGCCCCAGCGTCACTCTCTCCCACAAATCAACTGATTTACAACTATAAAAACATAACATCAAGTGTGTACAGAATGGGGAGATGTCCAGTGGGGGAGGCAGAAGCTCCAATGAGACCACATGCCCTGCGGGGCCACCTTCGCGCGATCTAGCAGATAGGCTTCACCGCCACCACCCAGCTCCATTCCCAGCCTGGACCAGTGCACACGGAGTGGGAAGAGATCCAGCAGGGGAGGCGGAGGCTCCACAGAAACCACACACCCTGTGGGGCCGCCACCGCATGATCCAGCAGGTAGGCTTCACTGCTGCCACCCGGCTCTATTCCCAGCCTTGCCCAGTGCACACAGAGCAGGGAGACATCCGGCAGGGGAGGTGGGAGCTCCACAGGGACCACACCACTGCTGCGCAACCCAGCAGCCTGGCCCAGTGTACGAGGAGTGGGGAGATGTCCAGCGGGGGAGGCGGAAGCTCCGCAGAGACCACACCACTGCCACATGATCCAGCAGCCTGGCCCAGTGTGTATGGAGCAGAGAGATGTCCAGCAGGGGAGGCAGAAGCTCCATAGAGACCACACACCCTGTGGGGGGGCCACCGCCATGCCATCCAGCAGCAGGTAGGCTTCACCGCTGCCACCCAGCTCCATCCCAAGCCTGGCCCAGCGCGCATGGAGCAGGGAGACATCCAGTAGGGGAGGGAGAAGCTCCGCAGAGACCACATGCTCTGCCGTGCCTCCGTGCATCCCAGCAGCCTGGCCCAGTGCACACAGAATAGGGAGATGTCCAGCAGGGGAGGTGGAAGCTCAGCAGAGACCACACACCCTGTGGTACTGCCCCGTGACCCAGCTGCCCGGCTGAGTCCACGTTGATTAGAGAGGTGGCTCCCTGGAGAGGTTCAAGACCCAAGGCAACCACACATGCAAGGCACTAGAGGCCAACTGAGCAGACACTGAGGTAGCCATGCCAAATTGGCAACCACAGCAACATCTTAGTCAGACAATAGTGTCAAACCTGTGGACTGTGAAACCCCCTGCCACAATGAATAAACATCAAAGAAAAGATACCAGAAATATGAAAAATCAAGAAAGTACACCACCAAAGGGTAATAACTCTCAAGCGCTAGATCCTATAGAACAAGAAGCCCATGAAATGTCTGACAAGGAATTGCGAGTGATAATTCTAAGAAAACTTATAATGTCTGACAAGGAATTGCGAGTGATAATTCTAAGAAAACTCATTGAGATACAAGAAAACTCAGCTAGACAACATGATGAAACAAGGAAAAGTATACAGGACCTGAGCAATGCTGAGCAAAAATAATAAAGTTGGAGGCATAACACTACCTGACTTTAAACTATACCACAAAGCTATAATAACCAAAACAGTATGGTACTGGCATAGAAATAGACACACTGATCAATGGAATAGAATAGAGAATTCAGAAATCAACCCACACACCTATAGCCATGTGATCTTTGGCAAAGGCACCAAGCCTACACACTGGGGAAGAGACTGCCTCTTCAGCAAATGGTGCTGGGAGAACTGGATATCCATACGCAGGAGAATGAATCTAGACCCATACCTTTCACCACACACTAAAGTCA